CTATAGCAAAATTCTCTCTAGAAAAAGAAAAAGAAATACTAAAAACATTCGAATGATTCAAGAGCCACAGAAACAACAGCACATTATGCCCAAATAATTGGAAAGTAGAAAATAATGAAGCCAAGTGCAAAAATGGTGAATTAGAAGACAGTAGAGCCAACTAATGAAAGCCAGTTATTTGAAAAGATTTATATAACATTTTCAGTAGGTGTTGTCAATTATAAAAGTAGCTAATTAAGTGATATTAGTTAAATAAAGTTCTAGGAAATATACTTGCAGAAGAGATGTAAAGATTATAAGGGAACACTATAAAACTATTTTTGCCATCACACAAGATAACAAATGATGAACAAGGAATTATTATGTAATTAACACAAAGAAATGCTAGAATTAGCACCCTGTAGCCCCTAATGGATTTATAGATAAGGGCAATAATTCTCAATGACTGCTAACATCACCACAGAGATCACAAACATCATATATCTCCTAGTGAAAATGTGCAGTGAGTGGTTTTTCCAATAGACAAACAGGCAAAAAAATAAACCTTCATCTGATCAAGATTCTTACTGTAACTACTAAGGATTGCTGATGCTGAAGTGTCAGGTATATTGGGTTAATTATTCAATTCTCTGTACTGCTGTATACATTTGGGAACTTCAATGATAATTTTATCATAACCATCATACCTTTAAATTAAAAAAATAAGAAAAAACTAAGCAAAATATAAATGACTAAATTAATATACTAAAAAATAGAAAACTTCATTTTTGTCTATGAAATGTGTAAATATCTTATCTGTTGATGGTAATGTCTTTGACTTGATATGCAGGGTATGCATGCTGGGAAAAACCATGTTGTACACTGTAAAGATGCACAGTGATTAAATGTAAATTTAAAAATAAATAAAAATTGAAAAATACAAACAAAACTGTAATTAAAACCCAAGGCACCTCAAAATGTTTCCAGAACAGTCATGTTTGGAGGCTTGTTCACCAAATGGTAAAGAAAAAAGTACTTGTCACATTAAGTAAACTCTTCAAACCATATAAAAAGTGGAAAATCACTCTTCTACTTTAACAGGCTAGCTCTCCTTGATACAAATATGAGAATGTCTCAAAAATGAACACTTGACCCCAAATCATTCAGAGACAAAAAAAATGATTTCAAAGGATAAGTAATATATTGGTGAATTAACAAAGAAATAGAAAGGCAAAGATGATACCACATTAGGAAAAAAAAGTGTTGTATTATTCACTAGAATAACAGATAGGAAAGAAAAAGTGTTTGATCATATGCAGAGGTAAAATAAAAAGCCTTTATAATGGGGCTGGGAGGTGGCATGATGGTTAAGGGCACTGGAATTCCACATGGCTGACCCTAGCTCAAGATCCAGATCTTGTGGCTTGCCTTCTCTTTCTCTTTTTCTCTCTTTCTCACTCTGTCCCTCTCTGGTCAAATTAAAATAAATAAATGAAGTTAAATTAAACAATTCTTTTAAAAAAAGGCCTTGATAAAAATTCACCACAGTTGATGGCAATAACTTAGCAACCTTAAATAAGAATGGAATTTCTAGATCATAAAATCATCAACAAATATATGCAAATGTGAAAGTATAGTAAAGTCTGAAAAAATGTGCAGAAGTATACCATCACAAATCTGGATTAGAATGTGTAACCAGTAACGGGATCAGCAGTTGGTGTAATGGCTATGTCGCTGGACTCCCATGTAGTCGACCGCGGTTCGAGTCCCAGACCCGGTGGCTTAAAACTCACGCTGGGCCTGTGTGCGTGCATGCCCAAGATCCCGAGAGGAGAATGGAGGAGAAGGGATTGCGATGTGGCCATCCCCGCTGGGGGTGATTTCTCGCTTTTTATCTCTCTGTCTCTCTCTGTCTTTTGGGCGAGCACACGTGCCCTATAGCAAAAACCTCTCCAAAAAAAGAAGGAAAAAAAAAAAAGAATGTGTAACCAGTAAAAAGGGGCACACATGGGGCCAGCAAATGGCGTAGCGGTTACATCACTGTACTCCCACGTGCTGACTGTGGTTCTAATCCTGGACCCGGTAGTTTCAAAATCACACTGGGCGTATGTGGATGCACACTCAAAATCCTGGGAAGAGGATGGAGAAGGGACTGTGGCATGGCCATCTTTCCCAGCAGGTAATGTCTCACCTTTCCTCTCACTGTTTGTCTCCCTCTGGCAAGCACATGCACCCTAATGCAAAAACCTCTTTTTTTTTAAAAAAAGTAGCACAAAAAAATATCAATATAAAAAAGAAGCACTAATAATAAAAAGAAGTAATAATCATAACACTATTATCTTTTAATTAAAACATCAAAGTAATTGGCATTAAAACATACAAGCAAAAGAAAAAAGCTAGCATATGGAAAGCACTATAGCAAAGTTAGAAGCCTGGTCACACAAAATTAATAACTAGCTAGAACATGTAATGGAAAATTTACTATTCACAATGGCAATAATATCTTAAAAGACCTAAAATATAACCTTATAAAAGTTTGCAAGATCTTTAATGGAAACAACTATAAAAATTTCATGATAGGTAAGGGGGAAAGAACCAGATAGAAAAGTGTACTATGCTTATTAAGGGAAATAGAATATTGTAAAGATGCCAATTCTGTGAAAATTATTTACAGATAAAGTGTCTTATCCATAACTTCTAAGCTGGCAACCAAGCTAGGGCAGTTGTTTCCTATGACCAAAACCAAACCTGGAAAGACTAAAAAGGAAGAAACATAAACAATATCATAAACAGTAGCAAAACAACAAAAGAAAAACTCCTGAGGGACACTAAATCTCTGTTTGACTACTGCTTGTGTGGGGGTGTGCCCTGAAGTAAAAAATGTCCATAGCCTGCAAAGCAAACCAGGAGAGAGGATCAGTTGGATTGTTTTTATTATTTTATTTATTTATATTGGAGGGAGACAGTTTTGATATAGATTGTGAATGCTCACCAGAGAGAAAGAGAGAGACAGAGAGACAGAAAGTAAGAAAATATCCCCCAGGGAGGACGGCCACTCCATCATCCCTTCTCCTCCATTCTCCTCTTGGGATTTAGGGCACACATGCACACACACCTGGCATGAGTTTTAAGCCCCCAGGAGCGGGTTTGAACAACGGTCAACTATGTGGGAGCACAGTGATGGAACTATTACTCCATATGATGGCCCTCTGATTTTTTTTTTAATTAAAGAGTTCCTGACCTCTGATTTTTTTTTTAACTAAAGAGTTCCTGAATTTTTTTTCCTTTTTAATTGCCACAAGGTGTGTGAACTTGGGGGGGGGAGAACAAAAGAAACTCCCACGGGGGTCCTTATTTCTCCATTCTTCCATCCTGTCAGGCTTTGTAGCAAGCACAGAAATTCAAAGTTTTACAAATTGACAGGGCCACTGGACACAGAGTCAACCATGTGGTATCCAGCTCCCTAGGCACTGTGCTTCACCCTTCAGCTACAAACCTATCCTCAAAGGAGTGATTCTAAAGTCTGCCAGTCTACCTTGAATGAAGAATTCTTAATACTTTATTGGAAGACTCTGGGGCAAAATTAGAACAGCACAGAAATTCAAAGTTTTACAAATTGACAGGGCCACTGGACACAGAGTCAACCATGTGGTATCCAGCTCCCTAGGCACTGTGCTTCACCCTTCAGCTACAAACCTATCCTCAAAGGAGTGATTCTAAAGTCTGCCAGTCTACCTTGAATGAAGAATTCTTAATACTTTATTGGAAGACTCTGGGGCAAAATTAGAACAGTCAGAAGCAAGTGGGACCAATGATAACCAAAATTAACCATGGAATAAGTAAACAACAGAAAAACAACAAAAATGAGACCCCTGAGGGACAGTAAGTCGCTCTTGAACTACAGCCTGTCTATGGACAAGGGAGGAGCACACCCTGAAGTGAAAAAAGGGATGTAGCTTGATATAGAGCACATGACAAAACTAGCCAGAGGAGTCGTCGTAAAGTTTGAGCACTGATACCTCTACTGTGCCCTGAAAATACAAATTCCTACTACTTCACTGGACAACTCTGGGGCAGCACCCCAGATCCCACTCACCAGAACCCGGGGAAAACAGCAGAAAAGCAGAAACAGCTGGATTGGTTAAGGCAGTACCCATCCATACCTTGTACTAATAAATGAATGAAACCTGTGTACATGAGAACTGGACTCTTATCATGATCACCTTAGACTATAAGCATGAACTAAGATAGAATGGGAAGGGTCACACGGGAACACACATAATAAAGGTACAAGCTTACTCATGAAATATTTTGAAGACGTCCCAGAGGTCAACGAAGAGAGTTCACAGATAGGGAGGTCACGATAAGGAGCCCCTCATTTTGTACTGGGGAATTTTGCAGATGATGGTCAGAGGAAGGGGATGCATTTAGCGCAGAAAAGCAAGGAACCCCAGGCAGTGCCAGCGGTCATTGTGAGGACCCTGAGTAAGGACAGAGGGACCCCAAAAAAACTCCCCTACAAACTACCATGCACACTCCTCCATGATCTACCTGCAGCAGCCAGGTCTGGAAGACCCCTACCCATTAAGGTCTTTGGTTTGAGGGCTTGTCCCCATGTCAGTAGAGAGGAAGTGGCCCAGCACCTACCTGTAGGGAGTCAAGGTAAGACCTGAGACGGGACTGAGGGCAGCATCCACCCCACGAGAGAGACCCCACAAAGCCCCACCCCTGCTGTCAGTTATGGGAGGTCCCAGGCATGGCTGCTGGGCTTAGACTCCCACTCACTACTGACTGGGATCTCTCAGGAGAAAGGAGATCCTTGGCGTAAGTCTGGGGGACTCACCCAACAGGGGGCACGGTGCCAAGGCGTGCAGAAAGTCAACGAAAAGACTTCAGGAGGGTCCCCTGGGACACGCTGGCCCACACCAGCGGGAGCAACAGAGCCCCGCCCTTCCTGCGCAGATTGGGGGGCAGGTGGGCGTGGCCGGAAGTGGCTAACCCTGACTTCCTCCTCTCCTAACCGTTGGGGGTGAGGTGTCTGTGGAGGAGGTGCAGCCTCAGGCCGTTGCCGGAGGCGTCTGATCCGTGTCTTATCAGGTATATGCTCAGGTGTCTGGGTGGGCAGTGTACATCAGGAGAGCTGGCCTGGCCGCGACCACAGTGACCACCTTGTTCTGAGCAGGGGAGGCCGCACAGGGCACCGGGCCTGCTCTCTTCCCAGGAGCCTCCAGCATGACCGTAGAGGCCCTAAGCCCCTTCGCTTCCCCAAGGGTGTGGGCAAATAAAGACCTTGGTCTGAGGCTGGTCGGCTCAGGTTGGCAGAGGGAGAAACCCCAGAATAAAAGAGGGCCCCTGGGGAGGACTGGGTGGACCCCATGTCCCAGAATGGGGGGATGGGGGAAGTCAGGGGGATGGGTGAATGCAAATGGAGGATGCCCCCATCAGAATGGGGGGTGGGCGGTGTGGGAGGCAGGGGGGATGGAGCAGGGCTGGGGAAACAAGGGGGTGGATTGGGGTGGAGATGGAGCTGGGCAGTGGGGTGTGCAGTGGGCAGAGAGGGGCAGATGGGGAGCACGATGGGTGTTGGAGAGGAGGGGCAGTGGTGGAAGCCTGCTGTTCGCAGCACTCACCAGTGATAATGGCCAGGGAGGGTCTGGACAGGCTTAAAGACGGAATTGCTCCCTCATTTTGTCCTTGGGGAACTTTGGGAGGTGGGGCCTGTTCTGGGGGCTGCCAAGCAGGGGACAGTTTATATGTTATATGATGAATAAAGCTGAAGAAACTGATCACTGTGGCAACCACTCTGACAACAGGGACACCTCTGAGTCCTTAGCTGATATCATCCAGGGAAACCCAGACCTATGTGTCATTTAAGGGCCCCTTCCTCAGTTTCTCCTCTGGGATCATCTACAAGCGATGACTTTTTTCTGAGGGGACAGTCACATTTCAGTGAACAGAATGATTTTAATCTGTTCCAGGGATCAAACAGGTCCTTGAGACATCAATTTTCTGTTGCATCTTTCAGTTCTGAAGACTGTACACAAGTGGAGCCGAATAAGGACAAGCTGAATTGTTCTGCTTGGCTTTTAGGTAAGTCCTAACCTTAAAATGCTGAGATAGGGCTCAAGTAAAGAGGAAGGGAGACTCAGGTCCAACGGCAGGAGGAAGAGAGGATGCAGAGAGAGGACTGAGGTGTTAGCCATGGAGTGCAGGAGACAGGCAAGGTCCCTGACCCACCAATGCTCGCAGGGGCGGGGAAGGTGCATAGAGCCTGCAGAAGGGGCCTGGGGCAAGGCCAGTGCAGACTCTCCCTACTGAAAGTGCTCACACAGTGTCACTCTTCCCTTCTAGGTGCCTGCCTTGTCAGCCCTCCAGCTGTCCCTGGAAAGACACCATGCCTCGCGGTCAGAAGAGTAAGATCCGTGCCCGGGAGAAACGCCAACAGGCCCGTGGCATGACCCAGAGCCCCAGGGTCCCTCAGATCACCGCAGAAGGGGAAGAAGAGTCTTCCCCGTCCGCCTCTCCTGCCTGTGGAGGACGCAGCTCTCCTTGCAGCTCTCCTGCTGCCTGCTCTCCCCCAGAGTCTCAGGGAGACCCACCCACTAGCTCCCCTGATGCAGGTGCCTCAGGCACAAAATCTGATGTAGGGGCCCAGAGCCTGGAGGAGGCAAGTCCAATAACCTCTCAGGCAGCATTTGCTGCCCTATGGTCATGCAGAATAAGCAGCACTTCCCTGAGATTTTGAGGAGAGCCTCAGAGCGCATGGAGCTGATCTTTGGCCTAGAGTTGAAGGAAGTTGACCCTGTCAGTCACTCCTATGCTCTTGTGAGCAAGCTAGGCCTCTCCAACGAGGGAAGCGTGAGTGGTGACAAGGGGCTACCCAAGACCGGTCTCCTGATGACGCTCCTGGGTGTGATTTTCATGAGGGGTAATCGTGCCACTGAGGAGGAGATGTGGGAATTCCTGAATATGTTGGGCTTATATGCTGGGAGGAGCCACTTAATATTTGGGGAACCCCACAAGCTCATCACCGAAGATTTAGTGCGGGAAAAGTACCTGGTGTACCAGCAGGTGCCCAACAGTGACCCTCCATGCCATGTGTTCCTGTGGGGTCCCCGGGCCTATGCTGAAACCAGTAAGATGAAAGTCCTGGAGGTTTTGGCTAAGATCAGTGACACAGTCCCTAGTTCCTTCCCTTATCTGTATGAAGAGGCTCTGAGAGAGGAGGCAGTGAGGGCAGGAGGGAGATTTGCAGGCAGGATTGGCACTGTGGTCCAGGTCAGGCCAGGTCCTAGGGCCATGTCCCACTGCTCTACCCACATCTAGTGAAGTTCAAGGTAGATTTTAACTTAGTGTTTGGAGAGAGCAGAGTGTTAAGAGTTGGTGGAAACTAAACGTTTATCTTCATTCTTTTGCTGTTATATGTGAGTGATTTATAGGTATATCCTTTGTTTTCTTTGTTATTTTTCAAGTGTTTTTCTCTGAATTGAAGATATATTTTTGACTCAGATTATAAATTTATTAGTAACGTGGCTGTCATATTCATTGCTATTTATGAGTTTGAAAGTTGCAGTTTTTGTATTTGTAAAAGAAATTAATAAACTATATTTCCTTTTTATCTATATCTTGATAGCATCATAATAAAATGGCAATTTTCATTAAAATGTGAAAGAACCATACATTGAAAGTTTGGATTGCAATATGGAGGGAAAAATGGAAAAGCAGAAACTTAAATTGTATTTAATTGTTATCTTACTTTCTGCTTTTTAGTATTTATGTATTAATAAAAAGTACCTTGAGTAATTCAGCTTATTTATAAATGTTTGCTTTTTTGTTCTATCCAGCACTGCATATTCTTTTCTCTTTACTGGGTAAAATCAATTAAAAAAAACCTCAAAACCAACTTTTTATTGTTAGGTGATTTTTTGTGTGTGTTTGAAATAATTGCATTAAGTGCAATGATCTGTATGAGCCAGAGTGAGTTCACTGAAAACATTTTTTTAAGATTTTTTTGCTATAGGACACACGTGCTCACTGTAGAGAGACAGAGACAATGTGAAGGAAAGTGAGAAATCACTCCCCAGGGGTGTGGCTATGTTCCAATACTTTCTCCTTCATACTCCTCCTGGATCTTGGGCATGCACGCACACACACCCAGGGTGATCTTCAAGTAAAGGGAACATTTCCAGGATGTGCCAGGAGTCAGGATGAGGACTCTAATAAAGGATTAGAGTACAAGATCCACAACAATCAGGGAAGCACACAATCTCTTTCTTATTGTTAGACCTTGGAGATGGAAGAATAGATGCCAGGCAGAGCAGAACAACCCTTTATTTCTAAGGGTAACAGAGAAATGAGGGTCTTGTATTGAGGGAGATGGTAACAAACCAAGGGAGAGAGTAATTGTAGGCTCTCCCATGAATCACACTGAGGATCCAGAGTGAGGACTACAGAGGCCATGCAAAGGCTCATAAGGCTCAAGCTTGCCTGCTACAGCTTTTTGTCTCAGGAGACTATAAGCGGGTGTGACAAATAATGCTACCCTTCCTCCCCTATAATGAGGCTCAGAGAGTGCTGGACCTTACTATGAGTAGATGTCCTCAGGTCAAAAGAGAGAGGAACTGCAGACCCTCCCAGGAGTCAAAATGAGGACCCTGGGTAAAGAGGGAGGGAATCACATTCCTCCCTCTGGTAGAAAGGACAAGTAGTCTGTCTCTACCCTCTTTTCAACATTTGAATGTTCAGGGCAGGGATTTCCAGCTGGGGCTCCCCCACTGCTTCTGTATGTCATGTCTAAGGAAGTTGAGATCCATAGTTTGAAGGTATAGCCACCAGAGAGCAAAAGAGTGGGTCCTAGACCTATAAGGAACCAAGATGAGAACTCTGAATAAGGACTGAAATCTAGTGATCCCAGGATAGAGAGAGTTCCCCAGAATACATAGGTTGAATGAGGAAAAGAATAGCAAGTTAGAACAGAACACTAAAAATTAATGAGATGTATAATAATTGTGAATAAGAAATCAGAAAAAAGAAGTAATGAGACTGAATCAGTAATAAAAAGTCTCTCAATAAAGAAAAACCTAGGAGTAGATGGCTTCACTACTGAATTCTACTCTATCAGTTTAAAAAAATTATTACATCAAAACTTCATTTACTATTTGTAGATGCAAAGATCATATTGTTTTATTGGAATCAACCAGATTTCCAACTACTCTTCTGTACATATGAAACTCCTTTACAGTTTAAAAGTATAAAAACACTTATTGGGGTCAGTGGGTGGCATAGTGGTTAAGGTGGCTTCAAAATCATTGGTCATGTGTGTGTGTATGCCCAAAATCCCAGGAGAATAGAGAAAGGATTGTAGCATGGCCATCCCACTAGAAGGTGATTTTTTCCTCCTTTCCTCTCCTCTCCTCTCCTCTCCTCTCCTCTTCCCTTCTCTCTCTCTCTCTCTCTCTTGCTCTCACTCTCGCTCTCTTCTCTCTCTCTTCAGTGAGTTCATGTGACCTATGGCAACACTTAAAAAAAAAA